CCCAAGCCCTTTTTCTCTACCTGGCTCCACTTGTCCCCAGGTGCTATCCCCAAATTCCAAATAGTAGAATTCCTGGGTCTCCCCTTCCCAGCTCAGAGTTGCTTATGGATGGAATGTGAGTCCAGCTCTTCTACCAGAAGGTCCAGGGAGGTTGCAGCAGCTCAAAGGTGGGGATACTGGTGACATTGACTGGGATGGAAATGATGGCCCATGGCAGCCCATGTTGTTCCAGGGAGCGACGGATCATGTAGCTAGGAGGGCATGAAGAGAGGTGGTGGTGATCACATTTTCTGAGCATCGCAACATGTCCCACTTTCCCCATCACTCTTGGGTTCTGAAGCCCAAGGAGTCTTTTTGCCCTCCAACTGAGGCACCCCAAGATGAGGTCTATGGGAAGGGGCTGGTGATTACCCTTCACCTCCCAAGTCATGTTACCCAGTTGCTGCTGACAGCCGAAGACAAGGACCCCCCTCACCCATCTCGGCCGAGCAGGAAGAGAGCAGGGATGTCCACTGTGCGCTGGGTACTGTCCTGGATCATCTCCACATAGAAGCTGTCATTGTCAACTGCATTGTCAGAAATGATCACGGCCCGCCCACCGTGCTCCTGTACCACCCGGGTCTTGGAGAGGAAGGAGCAGCCCCTGGAAGAGGTGAGGTCAGAGGAGAAAGAAGGATCATGTAGAACTTGTTATAAAGACTCCTAAGTACAAAGCCAAAAATATGGATAGCCTTGAGTCTTTCAAAGAATTCAAAACCAGCTATTACCACCACCGGCCATGATCTCAGAATCTGCCCTATGCCTGCCCCCTACTTGTGCCATGCCCGTTGACTCCTTACCCCCTCTCCACCAGAGCAATCTGGTCTTGGATGAAGAAGCCGTTGCTGAGTTCCCCACAAGCTTCTGGAGGTTCAGCAGGGACAAGATGAATCTGCTCATACCTTGTGTGCTAAAAAATGTTTAGGCATTTGAACAGGAGAAAGTATAAGAAGACCAGACACATCTGCTTTGGGACTGGGCTTGACCGGCCCATCTTACTGGCCCTCATCATAAAGAGTGAAGGAAATGTGAAGTGGTTTCTGTGTTGCTGGGCACTCCAGCCTTGATTCTCACAAAGGCCTATCTGGTTGTCCAACCCCAACCCACGTTGCTTTGAGCTAGGTAGGTAATTGGTCATAGACTCAGGAAAGTAGGTGTCCAGAGGTAGAGCCGGCAGAGAAGCTTGGTGCACTTGTTTTTTCACTATTTCATGACCCCCAAAGAGATGGTTTGTCCCTTCATGGTACCTAGTCTATTGTATGCTTGGGGAAGTAGTTGGAAGCGCTTCTTTTCTGTACTGCAGCTCCTCCAGAGCATAGCTGAACTCTCTCCTTCCCTGACTCAGAGTCACCAGAGCTCAGGGAGGCAAAGGGGCAGAGCTGAGGATCAGAGATCAGGTACATCCTTGGACTTACAAAGATACCACCGAAGTCCTTGGCAGGTGTGGCTGTGAAGATATATCGAATGTCCCCAGGACTCAGCACTTGGAAGTACAAATAATCATGGATGCGTAAGCCTAAAGGATAAAGAGTACAGGTGAAAAACCTCCCAGGAACAAGCCGGTTCTGGTTTAGATCACAGACCCCATGTCTTCAACTGAGTTAACTATAGTCTTGGGTCCTTTGGATGGGAGTGTGGGTCCCCACCCCTGAGGAAGAGAATTGATGTGGAGTTAGTAACCTCAGAGATTTATATTTCCTGCTGCTGCTTCTTTAGGTGAGCCAGGAAGAACGAGAGGTCTATGTTTAATTCACCTTTGCTCTAAAGTGGACCTGGGAAATTCACAGTGGAGATACAGTGTCCTGAACACAAAAATATTCCTAAGTGAAATTTGGAAGTTAACTCCAGTTCACTGTCATTCCCTTAGTCCAGTTATGATATCTTTCCTGAGAGTTTTTCTTTTTTTAATATTTATTTTTCAGTTTTAGGTGGACACAATATCATCATTTCATTTTTATTTGGTGCCGAGAATTGAACCCAGTGCCTCACGCACACCAGGCGAGCATGCTACCACTTGAGCCACATCCCCAGCTTCGAGTTTCTTTTTAAAAAATATTTTTAGTTATAGATGATCACAATACCTTTATTTTATTTATTTATTTTTATGTGGTGGTGCTGAGGATCGAAAATTGTGCCTCACACATGTGAGGCAAGTGCTCCACCACTGATCTACAACCCCAGTCTAGTTTCAGCTTTATTTATTTTTAGAGAGAGGGAATTTTTAATATTTTATTTTTTAGTTTTCGGTGGACACAACATCTTTATTTTATTTTGATGTGGTGCTGAGGATTGAACTCAGGCCGCGCGCATGCCAGGCGAGCGCGCTACCGCTTGAGCCACATCCCCAGCCCTAGTTTCAGTTTCTTAATGGTCTACTGCCTCCATTCTTCTTTCCTTTTTCTTGTCTGAGGCAGGGTCTCACTATGTTGCCCAGGCTGGTTTTCAACTCCTGGGATCAGACCATCCTCCTGCCTCAGTATTCCATCTGCTTCTATTTTGGCTTGCCAAGGTCCATCCACCAAGTAAACACCAGGGATTTTTTTTTTTTTTTGAAGGTAACTGGAGGTTGAATCTAGTGGTGCTTTGCCACTGAACTACATTCCTATCCCTTTTTATTTTTTGAGACAGAGTCTTGCTAAGTTACTGAGGGTCTCAATTATCGAGGCTGGCCTCAAACTTGCCATTCTCCTGCCTCAAGGTCCTAAATCACTGGGATTACAGACATGCACCACCACTCCTGGTAAAGCCAGGGATCTTAAAACATCTTAGGAATTATCGTATTTTCACTCCCAGAGCTTCAGTGCTCTTCAGCAATTTCCTTTGCACTTTTAGTGCAAAGGAAATTGCTGAAGTTGACACTGCACTATGGTCTAAAAGACCCTGTATGATCTGACTCTTGGCCACTGCTTCAACCTCATCTCCTTCCCACGCTACACTGGCCTCCTTTCAGTTTCTTCACTTCTTTGGGTCTTTCTGCAAGCTCTTCCCTCTACCTGGAATGTTTCCTATTCCTGTATCATCCCACTTCTTTACCTGACTCACTTCCAGTCATTTTTTAAGATACAGCCTAAATGTCACTTTCCCAGATCTAAGTTTTTGCCTTATGATTGCCCTATCCTCCTAGTCAAAATATACTTTTTTTTCCATTTGATACATTCAACATAATTCATACTTTATAGTATTCCTACTTTTTAATGTCTGCTTTCCCCACTAGGACAAGGATTGTTAAGTTTGTAATCCCTGTTGCCAACATAGTGGCCAGAATGTAGTGGGTGCTCAGTAAAGGTTATTGAATGAATGAAAAATAACTATGTCTAGCTCCATTGTCCTGAGCAGGAGAGTTGCCAGAACCACCCGAATTTTCTGGGTATGGGAACTTCTTTTCAGCATCAAAGCCTAATGATTTAGCTGGAGCTGAGTCCCTGGATTCCTTAGAGGGAGAGACTGATAAATATTGAAGGAAGGAAGCTGCTGCCATAGGTCTGTTAATAAACAAACCAAGCTATCACCGTATGCCAGGGTTGAGATTGATTGTGGCTCTAGCTGTCCTTGTCTACTGTCCAAAACTCAGCCACCAGGTAGAGCTCCATGAGCTTGGCACTGGGGTATAATGGCCTTTTAGCCTGGGAGTGGGGATTCCCCATCAGATACAATGACATCCGGGGGAAGCCATACTGGATTAGCGTTAAACGATTCCCTCTTGCCCCCTCTCCCACACCGTTGCTTGACATTTGCATGTGCCTTTCTATGTAAATTGTGGGTAGATATACCTCATGTACGTGTATAGTATATATATTTATGTGCTTGTGCAGGTGCAAGTGGGTTGTGTAGGTGAATGCTTGGGCGTGTGAACCCACATGTAGGAATGCGTGATCCTGTAGTATATATGTGAAGGCTGACATATATATCTCTGGCTCGTGCCTCCATCTGTCCCTTGTGCTTCCTCCTGTTCGCAACTCAAGTCCCTGGGGTTGTCCTTATTGGAGGGGGGTGGGGGCAGCTTCGACGTGGGTAACTGAGGATTCAGAACCCAGCTTGAAGCTGCGCCCAACTCACATCCCTATAGAACAGCACCCACCCACTCACTCTAGCCGCCCGTCTCCAGACCTACCCGACTCATAACTCGTGGGGTCCCCAAGGTGACCCGTGGCCCCTGGCCCGAGACACACGCAAGCTGGACGGTCAGCCCCGCCCCACAGCCCCTCCCGTTGCCGCTTACCATGGGCCGCGACGCACGCGGGGAGCCACAGCGCGAAAAAATACCAGCCCGCGGCGCCGGGGACCATCTCCAGGGCCCGGCCCGGCGCCGCGTTTTCTCCAGCCGTCCAGCAGCGCGTAGCTTGCCGGACTTTAGCCTGACAGCTGCTCTGGCCTCCCGCCCACAGACCCGCTCTCCTTGCCGGTTGGCGGACGGGAACGAGGTCTACGGCTGATTGGCTCTGATACCTGCTCGTGTAGCCGCACTTTCCACCTCTGCGCCCTAGCCCACTTTCTATTGGTCGAGAGAAGTGGAGCTGATGGGTGATTGGCCTAAACTCTTAAACAGCAACTGCTGGCCCTCGACTCAGCTCCGCCCCCGCGTTTCTTGATATAGATTCGACTCTCCAGTACCCTGCTGGCAGTAGGCGGGGCGAGGAGGATGGGGAACTGGTGGGTGGCTCGCAAGGATCTCTTCAGTTGCTGAAAGTTCTGGCCGTAGGCTCTTGTGGTCTCGGCCGGACCCTCTCCATTGATGCTTCGCTCCACGATTTGCCTTTCCCCATCTGTGTTTTCCTCCTCCTCCTCCCCTTCTCGGGAAAGCAATTGTCTAGCTAGTCCTTCGCGCAGTTACACCATCGCTTGCGGGCTCACTGTCGATAACAGTTGGAGCCGCGACTTGAGGCATCCCACCCGCGAGGAGGCGCTGGCCAGCGCGGAGCCAGACTCCGGACATTGAGGCTAGTTTCTTGTGCCCGCTTCGCTCCCACTTGCTGTGCATTTGTGATTGTGGACACTTTTCTCTACCTGTCCTCATCTGTAAAGTGGGCACAATAATAGTGTCAACGCGATACGTGATCTTTCACATTAGCACACACAGTCGGCGTTCAATAGATGCTTGCGTTTATTTCATTCCTTGTCCTGGCGTCCGGGAACGGAGGGGAGTGAAACCAATGTTAGTGGGTGACACAGGTCTATCAAGGATCTTATATCCTCGAAAAGAAGCATTTTCGAAGTCCAGCGACCCCTGAAGTTACGCCTCTAACTACAGCGACCCAGAGACTCAGCCTCAGGAACTTCTAGCCACACCGACTCGGTGGTAGCAAACGATAGAGTGGCGGAAGTGGCCCATCCTCTTCCTCTATCGGCTCAACGGCTTTGCTAAGCTTCTGGGGACTTCTTCGGCGCAGGGCATTGTGGGCTTGCTGGGCGGCCCGACAGCGAGAACAGAGGACTAGCGGGCCACTGAACAAGCTTCCAAAATGATGGTGAGTGGTGTCTCGCGCATCCATCGCCATCCGCTGCCATCTGGTCGGTGGCTGTCGCCGCTCAGCCGGGGCAGCCTTGTGGGATCTTTTCCAGACTCTTGCCTCGGACCTCGTCTTGGCTTCCTGCCTGTGGGCGACTCCGGCTGGCCGCGGCCTGAGTCGATTCGGGCATGGAGCAGGAGCGGTTGGCTTGCGTTCTGTGGGGCTCAGGGTTCTGGTAGGGTCGGGGACTACAGATCCCAGGGTGCTTCGGGACCGCGAAGCCACGTTGGGAACCCCTTCTCGAGGCTCCCCAGAGTAGGGACCTGTGTGAAACGAGTGTGGGTCGGGCGTGCATACGCGGCCCGCAACTAGGCTTGAAAGCCCGGGCTGCCCTGGGAGATTGCTGGATTGAAAGAGTGTGTTTTTAGAACGGACAGAGGCAGCATTGGGAATCTTTTGTTGGGCGCGCCCAGCGACCCGCAGCTCTTCGGCTATTGCATATATGAAAACATATTACTCCACTCATACTTAAATTCATTCATTTACTCGCGCAGTCACCAGATTGGTACATATTAATGCTTACTGAATGTACCAGGCCCAGAGGATTACTGGGGATGCAGCCTTTCAGCTAGGAAAATGGGCAAGGCAGAGGGGGATACAGTAGCGGAGGTGGGACGACCTGCACTCTGTTTCCGGTGACATTAGACAAGATTTTCTAGTTGTCGACCAAACTCTGTGTCTAGTTTTCTTAGAAGTGGGTGTGTGTGCCCGCGCTTGCGCACATTGCTGCGTTATGAATGTTGGAGTGTCCCAAAGGTTTCCTTGTAGCTCTGCAACACGGCTCCCCATTTCTCCCTCTCAGAGTTTCAGATACCTTCCCTGTGTCTGAAGCGTTGGTGGTATAGTGGTATAGTCTAGGTTGCTTTTGAGAGGGCTAACTTAGCTTCTGAGCAGGTGATGGCAATACCTTGTATCCTTCCTTGGCTCATTCATTTTCCAGTCTTCATCATTACTATTCTCTTTATTAATTTTAAAATTTCTTCATTATTTGTTCTTGAAGATGTCTTGCTCTTTGTAGAGATAGCACACATAGTGCAATGTTTGAAAATAAGGTCCCTGGAACTACATTAGAGTCCTATGTGTATAACTTAGCTCTGCCACGGTTCAGCTGTATGATTTTGAGTATATTTAATTTCTGGCTCTTAGTCTCTTAGAGAGAATAGCAATAGAGTATTGGTGCATAGAATTAAATGAAATAAAACATGTAAAGTGCCTGGCGTGTAGTAAACACTTAGCAGATGTTAACTAAGCAGTTGCTTCCTTTCCTCCCTATATTACTTCCTGCTGCCAAAGTTTCTATGAGAGCTTTGGTTGGCTTTTAAAGAACTGATGATCAGAACCACAGTCCTCCTGTGCTGTGATAAAACCCCTTACCAAAGGGCTACAAACCACTGCATTTGAGTTTCACTTGAATTGATTCTTTCTGCTGTGTCAGATTGACTGTTTACTTCTTGGATGTCTCACCTCCTTTGGGAATGTGAAACTTCTACCACCAGGAGTCCTCTATGCTGGCATAAAATTTGTCTCTGGTGTTCTAGAAGCCTGTGATGGAAAGAGAGGTAAAAGAGTCCCCTGAAGCTTTAACCCCTCTCCCGCTTTGGCTTTGTTATTTTTGAGACAGCATTCACTTAGTTGCCCAGGCTGACCTCAAACTGGAGGTCCTTCTGCCTTAGCCTCCTGAGTAGTTGGGATTCAGGTGTGTGCCACCAAGCTCAGCTCCTGAAACCTCAGTTCTGTGACTTTGAGACAGTTTGAACAGAGTGTATGTCCCTGCCTTTGTGGTATTGAGCTCTGCGTGCTTTGTTTTATAGAACATCAAGCTTAATGTTTAATAAACATTTTTAAGGAGGATGAAGAGGAAGATCATTAAGCTGAAATTCCAGCCTTTCATGATTCCCTTGTCAAGAGTACTGGAGGAATAAAAATACTTGACATTGAGGAGCTGGACTGTAGCTCAGTGGCAGAGCGCTTGCTTTCCACATGTGAGGCACTGGGTTCAATCCTCAGCACCATATAAAAATAAACAAAGACATGCTGTCCGTCTACAACTACAAAAAAAAATTTAAAAATGAGTGATATTGAAAGTAACTTATGCTCTCCATAGCAGAGTCTGCTGCTGGGGAACTGATAGAAAATGACCCACCCTGCTTGGCCTGGCTTGGCTCACTCCAATTCTGCCACCCTTCCCTCCCTTTAGGATCTCTTCTCCTCAGCCTACTATTTCTGTATGGCCTACAAGGATAGGTAACTTGGAATCTGTGATGAGCTTCTTCTTGATCCTTGCTTTGTACTTAAGAATTCTCAGTAAATTTAGTGCCAGTTTATTTCCCAAAAAAAGTTAAGAAGCCATTGCTATCTTACATCAAGCACGTTCACATAACAGTTGAATTTTCAGCTTGAAAAGCTGATGCATATTGTTTCATCTGTGGCCAGATCTTGGCCCTGCAAGGTTAGGATACTGTGTTCCTTACCTTTGGGAAACTCATACTTATTTAAGATACATGGTGATATATAAGTTGTGAGCAAGGGGGAATGAAGAGAAAGGAGATTCCCCTCTTCCAATTGTCCCATTTACTGCTCTAGAGAAAATTCGTGGAAGAATTGAGGCTCTTAGGAATTTGGTCTCGTGGTAGGAAAGTGGTTTTGGTAGAAAATGGTAGGGTGACCCTTGTAGATAAGGGTACAAGTTGGATGTGGAGTTGAGAAAACATCTATAAAAGCATCAGATAAAGTAGCCTGTCAAAGAGACAAAGAACCCATTGAAGGTGCTAAAATGGATTTGACTTAGGTTGGTTTTAATTTAAAGCAGAAGATTCCAAGGCTGGGGTGAACCAGAGAAAACTTTAGGCATTCCTAAGGAATGACTTAGCAGGACTGGGAGAAGGTGATACCTTACAGAAGACACATCTGCTCATTTCAGAAGGTGCCAGGGACTAGGTCTGCTGAAGGACTGGGAGTATAGAGAAGCCGTTCTTGCTGCCAGACCTGGGCCACTCCAGGAAAAGGAAGGAGTTTTTCCCTATATCCTCATCCCAGGTCCCAGATACAGGGGGTTTTCTGACAAGCAAAATGCTTGTCAGGGAGGACTGGAGGGTGTTTTTAGTGGTAAAGCACTTGCCTAGCATGTACCAGTTCGTGGGCTGTATCTTGCATGTGTACCCACACCTGTAATGTGTGCTTATTTGACAGACATATATATATATGTGTGTATATATATATATATATATATATATATAGTAGATGAACACAAGACATTTATTTATTTATTTGTGTCGTGCTGAGAATTGAACCCAGTGCCTCAGGTGTGAGGCCAGAACTCTGCCACTGAGCTATAAACCTAGCCCCCAAATACTCCCATTCTTATTCCTTAGAGTCTGTTGGACATCTTTCCATCCCTTTTATACATTTACATATTATATCTTGCCTTTTATCTGTTTTCTATGGTGGTTTTTGTTTTGTTTTGTGGTACTGAGAATTGAGTTGGGGGTAGTCAGCATTGTGCTACAATAGAGCCCTTTTTAATTTTAAGATAAAAGTCACTGGGATTATGGCCCATCCCCACTTTGTGACACCAATCCACTGCTAAAAATTTTTTCTGGGCTTGCCTTTTCTGTAGGAATAACATCTGAACTTCTTGCCATAGCTAGCCTCAGGTGTGTGAGATCTGCTTCCTGCCTACCTGTTCGTCTTTATTTTAGTCTTTCTATTGTTCATTCCCGCTGAGCCAAGAAGTTGAGCATTTTAAAGAATTGCCTAGTTCATATGGAACCAGGCTCATGGATCGCTAGACTGTTTCTGGAATATGAATTCTTTACTCCTTATTGTAAGGCTGAGGCAACCTATACTTTTTTTTTTCCTTCCCTTGCTCAGTACCTGAGGTAGGGTTAGCACCCTAGGGGTGGATGGCCTGTAAACATTTTATTTCATGTTACAGTAAGAAATAAATATAAGACTAAGGAGGCTGAGGCAGGAGATGGCAAGGTTGAATCCAGCCTCAGCAACTTAGTGAGACCTTGTCTTAAATACATAGGGCTGGGGATGTAGGTCAGTGGTAGAGCATCCTGGGTTCAATACTCGGTACTACAGGGGGAAAAGAAAAGAAAGAAATTAAAATCATAGCTTGTTGATAAGTATAATAGACAGTAAAACGTGTTGAAATAGTTCTGATTCACTTGAAAAATTGGCCCAACACCCAGAATACTAGATCTGATTCACAACTCATCTCTAAAGGCTTGGGCTTGGATGCAAACTCTGGTTTGCTAGCCATTGTCTGCTACTTGCCACTGGATAAAAGATCTAAGTAGTCCCTTTAAGAAAAAGTGGTATGGTAAGATATATTCTGTGCTTGTATAATTTTATCAAAATGGATTATACTGTTATAGATAACTAAAAAGAACCAATAAAATAAACTTTTTAAAAATTAGAAAAAGCAGTATGCCGGGCATGATGGTACACACCTGTAATCCCAGCAACTCAAGAGGCTGTGGCAGGAGGATCGCAAGTTCAAGGCCAGCTTCAGCAACTTAGCCAGACTCTGTCTCAATATAAAATAATAAAGGGCTTGGGATGTACCTCAAAGGTAGAGATCCCCTTAGATTCAATCCCTGGTACTGGTGTGTCTATTAGGGGTTGGGGGGAAGACCAGGCTCTCTGTCTTCCCAGAGTTTCTGAAGCAGATCTTCAAATGAAGCCCTTAAAGGGATAGTGGCCCTTTTGAGTCCAGTGTGACAAAGGAAGAAATAAACTTCTGGGGCACCTTCTTGGAAATTAGTCACATGGAAGCTTTATGGAGCCAGCATAAGATGGAAACATTGCTATGTGAATTAGATGTGTTGTCATTTTATGAAGCAAGACAAAGGTGCTGTTTCTCTGTCTTCTACACTCACTCCAGCTGGTAAAGCCCTGTGCCTCTCTAGGATACACCTCAAGCTGTCTGTGCCTTGCATACTGCACAGGTGCCCCATCTGTTTCTTTAAGATTGAGCTGTAACAGACCAGTAGATGTTTTGCTTTGGGGTTGAATCCTGACCAGGGCCTCCTCCTTCTTCTTGTTCTGTGATCTAATCCTTAGCACAAGAAATAATAAGGCCAAAAGTTGAAAAGGCCATGCTCATTCAACTGGGCACTTTAGAACATGTGATTTGTTCTTCTAGTCTAGGTCAGTGCTCCTCAAACCATTTTCCTGCCTTGCATGCCTGACAATGCCTCTGGAGGTAGATGGTTGGGGAATGTGGTTTAGAAAGGCCTTCAGATAATTGTATGAAGGAGTTGGGAGCATTTTTCCTGTCCCCTCCCCTCTTGAGTTTCGTTATAATAAACGATTATTAAAAGCAGGTAATTGTTCTTTCTTTCCTAGCCCACACCAGTTATCCTGTTGAAAGAGGGTACTGATAGCTCCCAAGGCATCCCTCAGCTTGTGAGCAATATTAGTGCCTGCCAGGTGATCGCCGAGGCTGTAAGAACTACCTTGGGTCCTCGTGGCATGGACAAACTTATTGTGGACGGCCGAGGTAAGTCTACTGGGTTCCTCAAGGCCTATTTTGCAGGAGAGGAGGGGCTTGGGTGGTATTTGGACTAGTACAGGTTGGCACCAAAAATCCCACTGCTTATAAGATCTCTAAGGGATTGCTCAGATTAAAGCATTTCCACTTCATACATTGTCCTGATTTTTGAACACTTGTAGGAATATATGGGAGAACCTGGTCTCAAAAGCCATTGCCTTGTAGGAAGACGTGACCTAGAAAACTGAAATAAAATCAATTGGAGTTCTCAGTGATCACTCCCACTGTATCATGTCAAGACAAGGAGAAAATTCTCTTTATGTTTTAGTGTGTTATTGACATGCAAAATACTAGGATATCCACTGTGTATCTTCTCATTTAAAATATTTTTCTACATCAAATTGATCTGTATTGATTGCTATTGAAAGAAAATTGGGAACCTGTGGTCTATAAAAATTTGTGCACAGAGCTAATTACATAAAAAGATGATATTGATATCTTTCCCTTAATTCCTACTGTGATATCCCCTCTTCCTTATCCCAAGAAAAAGTGTACATGGACCCCAGGTCCAAATAGAAGACAGAATTTAGGAAAGGGGCTTTAAGTTTTTGTTTGTTTCTCTTAAGGCAAAGCAACGATTTCTAATGATGGGGCCACTATTCTGAAACTGCTTGATGTTGTCCATCCTGCAGCAAAGACTTTAGTGGACATTGCCAAGTCCCAAGATGCTGAGGTAGGAAAATTAATCATATGTTTTTAAGTGGAGATTGAAACTCATACCTGCTTGCTATCTTCCTTTTATCTCTTATAATTTTTTAGTTTTATGTCTAAAATTATACTTTTATAATATATGCTTACAAAAATAATCTTTTGAGAATTTATACTAGGGCTGGGGTTGTGGCTCAGTGGCAAAGCACCCACCTAGCATGTGTGAGGCACTGGATTTGATCCTCAGCATCACATAAAATAAAATAAAATAAAATAAAGGTATTGTGGCCATCTATAACTAAAAAAAGAATTTATACTATTCTATCCAGGAGCGGGGTGTGCATGTCTATAATCTCAGTGGTTTGGGAGGCTGAGACAGGAGGATTGTGAGTTCAAAGCCAGCCTCTGCAGTTTAGCAAGGCCCTAAGCATCTCAGTGAGACCCTGTGTATGAATAAAATATAAAAAAGGACCGGGATATGGCTTAGTGATTAAGCATCTTTGGGTTCAGTCCACAGTACCAAAGGAAGAAGAGAAAAAAAATTCATACTATTCTATTGCATGTAGCTTTCATATCTGTTAACACATTGTCAATGGCAATGATCTTTAGGTATGAGATCCTAAAGACTAAGTCTAAGCTCTTAGGAGCAGGCCCATGTACTGTTATCACGTGAATTACTAAGTAAATAGTTTCACATCTCATCTTTTAGTTACCTACAAAATGGGGCTGGAAACTCTTTCTGGTGTGCCTGTGTGTGTGTGTGTGTGTGTCACTGGGGATTGAACCCGGAACCTTGTGCATGCAAGGCAAGTACTCTACCAACTGAGCTATATTTCCAGCCCTTGGTGTACCTTTTTTAACGATAGTAAAATATAACAAGATTTATCCTTTTAGCCATTTTAAGTATACAGTTCTGTAGCATTATCCTGTCTTTCCTAAATCAGTTCTAACACTGGAGTCTTGATGATAAACACTGAAAGAGATGGGTTTATGTTTTAGAATACTGTGGAATATGTATATTACAGATATGTCCTGAAGTGTAAAGGTTTGTTAGAACCCAGTAGCTTATAAAACAGTATGGTTTAAAGTTAAAAGTGAATATTGGATTATCTACAAGGAAATTATGCCTTTCTGTCCAGAAAGGGACTATCACAATGTCTTGACTACAGTTAATATGTTCTCAGTTAATTCATGTATGTGATTTCATATACTGAGAAAAATTTTTTATATAATTTTTTTTAGTTGTGGATGAACACAATACCTTTATTTTATTTTTTTATTTTTTATGTGGTGCTAAGGATCAAACCCAGTGCCTCACACATGCTAGGCAAGTGCTCCACCACTGAACCACGACTCCAGCCCCACTGAGAAAATTGATTACCTAAATCAACCCTCTTTGGAGAATGGGGTTATCTGGGAATTAATTTTTGTAGTCCAGAACCAATTGATAAGTAGTTAGGACTACTATCATGTTCTTTTTGTTGCAAAAACCTGTGTTTACAGAAAAAAAGCTTGACACCTATTTAAATAATGTCCAGTTTAAATGGGTAGGTTACCTGAAAATGGAGTTTCAAGGTGCTTCCTGAACATCAGAGAATGTGTTTCCTGTCATTCTTTTCCAGGTTGGTGATGGTACCACTTCAGTGACCCTGCTGGCTGCAGAGTTTCTGAAGCAAGTGAAACCATATGTGGAGGAAGGTTTGCACCCCCAGATCATCATCCGAGCTTTCCGAACGGCCACTCAGTTGGTACGGGATCACTGGTTCACCTGACCTTGTACTTGGGCATCTTCACATTCCTCTTAGGATAATAATTTAACTGGCGTGTGGAGTGACTGCAAGAATAGGGTTATTTGGGCATTTCCTGACTTCTTTCTAGGAACTTCTATTCAGTAGCTGTTTGATGAGATAGATTAAACCTCTGGTTGGAGTCAGCCTGGTAGATTATGATATAGATATAGTCTCAGTAAGTGACAGCCTTTTTTTTTTGGTCTTGCTATGATAGGTGAGCACGCTACCACTGAGCTACATCCCCAACCTTATTTCTATCAAGTACTTCTAGCTCATCTTAAGACCTAGCTATTTTGTGACCTAGGACAAGATACTTAATCTTGCTAGGCTTTACTTTCTTCCTTTGCTGTCATCAGCAAGGGGAGAAGGTTTGGTGGTGACATTAAAATGAGATTATATATGAGGAGTGCTTTGGCAAAGATAAAGTACATATACACACGTATCTATACACATGCGTAAAAAAAAAAAAATATATATATATATATATATATGTGTGTATGTATACACATTGTATTTGGGGGGTTGGGGATTGAGCTCAGGGGTGCTTGACCAATGAGCCACATCTCTATCCCTTTTTTATTTTTTATTACGAGACAGGGTTTCACTAAATTACTTAGGGCTACAACTAATAAAGTGCTAGAAGTCAGAGGTGTTTTTAGTAAGCCAGAGGTTTTGTCCTAATCTAATGTCATGACTTGTTTTCATTCAGTTGTGTTCTTTTGTTTTGTTTTGTGGTGCTGATGATCAAACCCAAAGCTTTGGACATACTAGGCAAGTGTTCTACAACTGAGCTGCATCCCTAACCCTTCACTTACTTGTTTTAAATATATTACCTGATCCAGAGCTGAATCCTGGGAATACCCTGATGATTCTTCTACTTACTCTACACTTTCAGAATTTTCTAAACTTACAGAGTTTTACATATTCATAGGCAGTTATAGGACCTAGGAATTTTGTTTGAGCTGTGGAGTAGAAATGCTTAAGGTTTGGAGTAAACAGACAAGGCACTAATAAGAAATTGTCCACTTTACCAGTTTGTCTGTAACATAAGAAACTCACTCAACTTCTGTTCTTGGCAGGCAGTTAACAAGATCAAAGAGATTGCTGTGACTGTGAAGAAGCAAGATAAAGTGTAAGTTTGCAGTGGGCTTTGTTATAACCTTGACTTCCTGTCGCCAAATTGGATGCAGGGAAGCACTTGGCAAATCCCTATATGGGCCTGAGGCACTTTGGCCCTTGTTAGAACCTTGGCTGTGCCCCAGCCAGCACGGCAAAAAAAGAAGCTATAGATCGTAGTTTAAAAGTTTTCACATGGGAGGTCTTTGACTACAGCTGCCCTCTGTCACTGATCATCTGTCCTAATGATACTGAAGGTGAAATTGAAGAGGGCTGAGACTAAAGGCTGGAAGGGAACTACCTCCACATCACAGTAGAATCGGGTAAGAAGGATTAAGTTTTCAAGACCTGATACAGATTCTGCCTTTGTGTCCCAGGGAGCAGAGGAAGCTGCTAGAAAAGTGTGCCATGACGGCTCTGAGCTCCAAGCTGATCTCTCAGCAGAAATCCTTCTTTGCTAAGATGGTGGTTGATGCTGTGATGATGCTTGATGATTTGCTGCAGCTTAAAATGATTGGAATCAAGAAGGTACAGGGTGGAGCCCTAGAGGTAAGCCTGCTGTGGCCTCTGTAGACGGCTCCTGCTTTCACCTTGGCTCCTCTGACAGTTTCACGTGGGAGTGGGGTACACAGTACAGATGGAGAGAGAACGCTTATTGGACCAGAAGTCAGACTTGGACTGTACTTCCATACTGCCACTACAGGATATAGATAAATTTTATAACCTCTGCAGAGCTTTGTGAGCAGAATGGAAAACTGGAATAATTGATTTTCAGAATCTTGGTTTCCATCATTGTTCGGGGTATGGTAGGACTAATTCAGATATTATCTATGACCCTAAGTGCATGTTCCATATACCACCCCTGACCCATATACAGGCACTGTTACCAGTTTTTTTTTTTGTGTGTGTGTGTGTGCTGTGTCCTAGAATTACATATGCAAATATAAGCACATTTGTAAATACTGTTTTTTAAAACACAGATGATTGCTTATAATAGTGTACTGTAACTTGCTTTTGTATGTATGGTCAGGTACACTCCTTCACTGAGCTACATTCCCAGCCTTTTTTATTTTTTGAGACAAGATCTTGTTGAGTTGCTCAGGCTAACCCTGAACTTGTGGTCCTCTCGCCTCAGCCTCCCAAGTTGCTGGGGTTACAGACGTGGACCACCATACCTGGAAAGATAAATTTTAAATCTAGTTTATTTTAAAAGACACCATGTGGCTGATGCCTACTGTATTAGCATAATTGTAACTTTTTTTTTTTAATACAATATTATTTGTCTGGGGAAATGTTCTTTGATGTTAGTGGCTCCATGTTACTTTTTACCTTTTTAATCTCTGGGCTGCCATGCTTATTATTATTCCTTGGTGATTTTTTTCTTTTTGATACTAGGGATTGAACCCAGGGGCACTTAATCACTGAGCCACATTGACAGCCCTTTTTGTTTTGGGGAGGTAGGGTTTTGCTAAGTTGCTTAAAGCCTAAGTTGCTTACGCTGCCTTTGAACTTAAGATCTTCCTGTGTCAGCCTCCCAAATTGTTGGGATTTCAGGCATGTGCCACTGCGCCTGGCCTTGTAAACTCTTATATATAAAACCTAACTCAGAATTCAGGTAGTGCTTCTTTACTTAGGGTTAATAGAGAACCTTCTGATTTATATCTTTCATCCTCATTTCACCCCTGAGCCTCATGTTCCTGTATCTGTTAATTACATTGTCCGATTCTATAAACCAGTAGTATTTTGTATAATCCTTGTCATAGTTGGTTTATTCTGTTACACTAAAAATCTAGGGGCATCCTTGACAACTTTACTGACTTCCCACTCCCTGTCAACCACTGTTTACCTACTAATTTACTAATTATTTCTTTTATCCATCACTTTTATTAGGACCATTGTCACCCTTCTCCAGTCTTGCATCCCCTAAATCATTCTTCATGTTACAGGGTGGAATTCCCTGCTTTACTACTCTGAGTAAAGCCTTCTGGATCCACATTGCCTGTAGCCTAAGAGCTAGGCTTTCATGGGGCTTATAAGGTACTCCTGAATTGGCCCTTGCCCACCTCCCCCTACTCCTCTCTGGCTGGAATTGTCCTGTCTTTTACATTCCAGCAGTTCAAAGGGCTATTCATTCCCTGGTCCCACAACACTGCCCCCCATCTCTTGTAAACACTCCTTTCTTTTTTCTGTTTGACTAATTTCTGTTTGTCCATCATGATTCAGCTTAGTTGTCACTCTCTTTAGGAGGTCTTTGATTTGATGCAGGAACTGGAGGCCATGGATTTGGGAGGCCATGGTTTTGATGCAGGAACCGGAGGTGTATACTACTCACTGATAGGCTATAGTATTATAGACTTATATGGGCAGAGTACCTAAAGATCATTGAACTGATTACCCTTTTTCACGGAATGAGGAAAGACTTGGTCATTCCGTGAGAATTGAGATTTGAACCGAAGTCTCAATGCCTAAGTCAGTCTGAAGTGCAACATGCTTTCTGTTATGTTCTGCTATTAAATCCAACCCACAGGAAGTTCTGTTAAGAAAAATGTGGTAGAAGCTCATGTCTGGAAGGGATCAATATGTGATGAGCCATAATGATAACTGATTTTTATTATCTTTTGTCTTTGCCTTCTAGACTATAGCATACACACTGTGATTGTGTGAGTGTGTGTGCGTGCATGCACATGCACAGTGGGTAGGGAATTGGGGGTAGACGAAGGCTGCATTGCTCAGCTCCTGCCCTAACATAACTGCCTGGCTCCTTTCCTGACACTGTATGTGAATATAGAGTTATTCATTGGCAGGTGCTTTAAAAGACAGTCCTGCATTCAGTTTGTCTCTGCAAACTGAATGATTTCCCTCATACTAAAAGGATAACTAAAAATATGTTTGTTTATTTTTTTAAAATGGGTTGTTCCAAAATTTTTGTTAATGAGAAGGCAGTGAAATAAAGAAATGGTTAACTCTTTCAGGGTTACAGAAATGGACAAGTACTAACCCAGCAAAGTACAAACCTGATTTGTGGTGGGGGGTGGGGTACCAGGGATTAAACCCAGAGGTGTAGAGACAGGGTCTCACTAAGTTACTGAGGCTGGCTTTGAACTTTCCATCCTCCTGCCTCAGTCTTCTAAGCCATTGGAATTAAAGGCATGTGCTTCTGTGCCCAGCTTGTTTTTTATTTTATGCTGGTACCAAACCATTGAACTAACTGTCTGTTTCTAACTAGGAGTCTCAGCTGGTGGCTGGTGTTGCATTCAAGAAGACTTTCTCTTACGCTGGCTTTGAAATGCAACCCAAAAAGTACCATGACCCCACAATTGCCCTTTTAAATGTTGAGCTTGAGCTGAAAGCTGAGAAAGATAATGCTGAAATCAGAGTCCACACAGTGGAGGTAGGCCTTACCAGCCTGAGGCGGTGTGGGAGTGGGTGCCTTTCTGGGCCAGGGCCTCAGGTCTTGACTGTCTCAGGTCTAGCACTGCTTCTCAGGCTTCTTATATTCCCCTTTTCCTCCCCCTACCCCAAGCATTAATATTTGAATACCAGACACACTGCTTTTCTCACTCTATGCTTCTTCCCTAGTGATCACAGCCTAGCATAATTTGGATACAGAAGAGTTGTTGAAATATTGTGCTCTGGCCCTGGGGGCGGCATTGACAGAGGCTTTCTAGCTATATGTCTTGCCTGATATTTTGCTTCCCCCTAGTCAGCCTCCTCCCACTGCACTCCTGTAATTGCTGTTATCAATGCTGCTGCTGGAAACACCATTTCACCCAGTACAGGGTGGCCTTTGGTGGGGAGGAGGAGGTCTTATCATTGGGAAGACCATGGTGCAGCACCTCAGTGCAGGTTAGGACTCCTATGGGGAACTATTTTTCACACCTTGGCTGTGCCAACTATGGTGTAGCTCCCTGCCCTGGGGTTAATTTCTGCTTTTGTGTTTGAAATTATTACATGGTTCCTATTATCTTAAAAGAGCCTCATTTGTTTGGACTAAAGAGTAGCTATTTACCCCTGTTAATTACCAGATACAGCAGCATTCTTTATTTTAGCCTACCCTAAATGTCAACGTATCCTCATCATTTTCTGGGTCTTTTCAGGATTATCAGGCAATTGTTGATGCCGAATGGAACATTCTATATGACAAGTTAGAGAAGATCCATCGTTCTGGAGCCAAAGTCATCTTGTCCAAACTCCCCATTGGGGATGTGGCCACTCAGTACTTTGCTGATAGGGACATGTTCTGTGCTGGACGTGTACCTGAGGAGGATCTGAAGAGGACCATGATGGTAACCAAATGTTCACAGGCTGCTCTTTGGCCTTTGTGGCCCCAAGGGGATTTCGGCCCTGTCTTTTTAACTCTTTCTGCCAGGAAATCCTTCATTCCCAGTGTTTCTGTGCCTAACAACCACAAATAGGTCAGGAAGTGAATATTGTTCATGAGAGAACTAGCAGTAGCACTGTGATTAACTGGACAATCTCATTGGGAGTGGGCTTCCTGCCAGATGTTTTTCCTTTCTTAAACTGTTTTGTTTTCTGCTTTCAGAGGTGTTTAAGGGTCTGCTGGAGGTTGGGGGGAAAGGGTAGATTTATCTAGTACAGAGGGCTCTGGGCTGCTTTGGCAGAGTCCAGCAAGGGAACTAGCTTGGAGACTGGGTGACAGGGAGCTGAGTAGCCTCATTGGGAGCCTTTGCTGCTAGATGATTCTGCCTTCTTTGCTCTTTAGGCCTGTGGAGGCTCTATCCAGACCAGTGTGAATGCTCTGTCAGCAGATGTGCTAGGCTACTGCCAGGTGTTTGAAGAGACCCAGATTGGAGGCGAGAGGTGAGTGGGTCTGGCTTTTTGCCATCTTCTGGGCACAGCTTGTACTGTTGTTCCTTTTTTGAGATGTTACCTTTGGGGGCATGAAGAATGTTGGGGGGGGGAAGAAGAGCCTGTTGGGTCTTAAGTCTGATTCCACAATCTTGATTCCCCCAAGGTTAGCACAGATCTTCCCAAGAAAATGCCTTTAAGGTTGGGATTGGGTAGCCTCAATGAAAATGGAAGAGCAGCTCCTAAGTGTCGAGAGGGCTTGGTGGGGAGAACAGATCCAGCAAGATGGCAACAGGAAGTAGTTCACATGTGTGCGATTTCATCTTGAGCATAGGTATAACCTCTTCACTGGCTGCCCCAAGGCCAAGACTTGTACCTTCATCCTCCGTGGAGGCGCTGAGCAGTTTATGGAGGAAACAGAACGGTCCCTGCATGATGCCATCATGATTGTCAGGAGGGCCATCAAGGTACTGGCCTCCTATCTACACAGCCCTATTTCCCTACATGTTCAGACTCTGGATTTGTATGGTGATCCCTTACCTGCGTGGTGGGCTCTCTTTGGCCCCAGAAATCATAGAAAAACTCAGCTTTAGTCTCAAATAGGTTATGTTGTCTTAAAGGTTAAGGCTAGTTCTTGTTAGCAAAGTGTGGAATTGATGTAGTTGGGTATTCCAGTGATTATGTCACTGTCCTCAAATTGCATGTTTCTTGATGGTTTACTAGGTTGGAGTTGGGGTGTGTTAGATGGGAACCATGTCTGGGCTGTTTTAGGGCTTCATTTGGGGTAAGGAAGGAAACACCATTTTCTGGGCCAGAGGACCTACCAGGTGGCCCAGGTTAGAGCCTGGACCATGATCTGCTTGCATTGAGAGGTGGTCTGGTTTCTGCAGAATGATTCAGTGGTGGCTGGTGGTGGAGCCATTGAAATGGAGCTCTCCAAGTACCTTCGGGATTACTCAAGGACTATTCCAGGAAAACAGCAGCTGTTGATTGGGGCATATGCCAAGGCCTTGGAGATTATCCCACGTCAGCTGTGTGACAATGCTGGCTTTGATGCCACAAACATCCTCAACAAGCTGCGGGCTCGGCATGCCCAGGTGGGTTCTTCTTCTCGTCAGAATCCAGGGGTTGGGTGGGTGGGGCTAGATCATGAGTGTGTTGTGCTTATTACTCAAGTGCACATACTTGACCCCAGTGATGGGCTGGAACTAAACCTAGTGTGACTGGGTAACTGCCTCCTCTTCAGGCAAAGGCCACATTGCCTGCCATGGAAACAACAGCGTCCTGGGAGAGAGCCTGGAGCTGTGTGTAAGAAACTTAGGATCAGTGCCATATTGCCTCTCCTCTTTTCCTTATTCTTTCAGGGGGGCATGTGGTATGGGGTGGACATCAACAATGAGGACATTGCTGACAACTTCGATGCCTTTGTGTGGGAGCCAGCCATGGTGCGGATCAATGCCCTGACAGCAGCCTCTGAAGCTGCATGCCTTATCGTGTCCGTAGATGAGACCATCAAGAACCCTCGCTCCACTGTGGATGCTCCTCCAGCAGCTGGCCGGGGCCGAGGCCGCCTCCAGTGAGAGGTGCACACCCATCACATACTGACTGGCAGGCTGGCTGCAGATGTGCTTGCCTTCTTTGACTTGGTTAGCTGATGTTATGAGGAAGTGGTAGTAGTTGGCCCACTGTTTCCACTAGTGATTATTTAAATAAAATTCAGACTTGGAATTAACCTTGTAAATTATTTGGGCATAGTTGTTTTACTCATATTGCAACTCAGAATTTGTGCTTTGCATGTACGTACTCAGAGATACAAAAAGGAGTTCTCTGAAGTTTCGCTGTGGTTATGTTGATTCCAGAAGTGGCTAGATTGTGTGGAGTTACTTCCTTTTCTTGATAGCTTATTTCACCCTCCCTAGCCTGGACCCTGCTCTTGGGGATTCTCTGCTTTGAGTAGATGTTGTATTACCTTGTCTGCCTCTTCATGTTCTCTGGGCTCAGACTTTTGTTTCCTCTTATTCAAGATCTTGAAGTTGACTCTGGGAGGGATGTTTGGCAGAGGTCATATCCTCTCATAACTCTGGTGACTTAATCCATTGAGAAGGAAGCTGAGGGCTCCCACTTGGTATTTTTTGTTCAGCCACCAGTGATTTTATGAGTCCTTGTGTTTTCTTATGACCAGTGATAGTTTGGCAAGGCTCCCACAGAGCCTCCTGGAACTCCGACAGATCTAACAGTCATCTCAGTCAAACTGATCCTCATAGCTGGCCTACAGCTAGTGCTGTACTAAATAATTGTTAGAGCTAGAGGTAATGATTGTCACCTTGAGTTACTGAAGGCAGCTGCCTGAAATCAGTGATTTTAGAAAAATTTGGGCTCAGCTTTTGTGGTTAGATGGACTCAACAGCAGAATGGGCAGCAGGTATTCCTGCCAACTTGGTAGTCTTTAGATAAGTTATTATTCTGAACCTCACCTGTTCCACAAGTACAACAAGGTAAGAACAGTTGGCTCACAGAGTTGGGTTAAATGCCCATTCTAGATGCATTTGAAGCCTAAACACCTGTTCTTTTTTCCCATTTTAAATATTTTCAGACCCTAGTAATCAAATTAGTGAGGCAAGCCCATTTTGTAAGATGTGTAATTCAAGGCAAGGCCATGGTGGCAACTTGGTATCCCCTAGATCAAAGCCTGATTGGTTGTTCAAAGCTTCCATACACCAGTGTTGGTAGGGGACAGTTCCTGCTACTTCTCCTAAACTTTGTGCTGGGTTTGCCCTTGAAGATAGCTTCTCCAAGCTGACAATCAGAAGTGATTTGTTTCGAGTCCATCTGTTTGAATGCAGACACTGAAAGCAGGATTGAGCTGTGATGGGGACAATAATGTGAATGGCATTCCTCCAACATGTTCTGCATCCCTGGGGTGACTCTTCCTGATCATTCACCCCATTAATGCTGATTGGGTTACCAGCCTCCTGCCCCAGTGCACTTCAGTTGTGCAAGGCTGTGGTAACATTAATGAATATGGTTCTGGGGTAGATACACCAGTTTCACCATCTTTTATTGGATACAGAGCCATAAATTCTCTGATGCCCATATGAGTCCTTTTAAATACATACACTCAGGTACATTCGGCAAAGGGCATTTATGGGTAACATGGAGCAAAGTGCTAGGATGGCAATGCCTGGATAGGGCAGAGAAGTGGGGCCAGGGAAGGCCCCCTGGGGGCTGGAGGTACAGGCACCACTTTAGAAATAAAACCAAAAGTTGCTCTCCACCCCTCTGCCTGGTGTGCTTGGGGTAGGGGAAGCTACCTCTCACACAGCTCAGGTCCTTGCAGCCTGGCTGTGTGGGGAAGGCGGGGCCTAGAGGCCAGTTGTGGAGGTCCCCACCAGCAGGCCCCCTAGAGCCAAGCCTACTGGCACCATCCCAGGCCAAGCCTGAGTCACTTCAGGCCTCTGCCCCTAGGTACAAGACCACTGCTGGGGCAGAGCTTAGGCTGGTGGCCCCATTCCAAGCCTCCCTGGGGCTGTGCTGTGGTGACAGGAAAGGCTTGGCCTTGTGGTGGGAGCCTGCCTGATTGTCAGGGCAGTCTTGGGACTGGCCAAAGTCCCAAGGAGTTGGGGAGGGAAGCCTGGTATTCTGATCTTCACCCAACCCTAAGCCTTATCCTCAGGCAAGGGCTGCAGATGAACACACTTGTCCAGGAATCGATACATACACACGATACACAGCAATATGTACAGGAAAGCAGGCCTGGAACAAGGCTGGGTGAGAAAGCATGGCCACCAGGGGTCAAGAGAAGTGCCAAGACCCTGGAGGAGGGAAGTCAACACTTCTCAGGGATTGGCAGGCCAGGACAGATCCCATGGGTGGGAGTTAACTCCTCTGGGCACTTCGACCATACCCCACTCACCTCCTGTTTCCACTCCAAATTCACCAGGAACTGGGTCTTTGGCACCAATAGTCACTCTGGGAGGGTCTCCTTCAACTTAGCGCCTTAGAGGGATTGGGGCCTTGGTGGCTCCCCCACCTGTTTCCAAAGGATTCGAGACCAGGGGGATAGGCAGGATCCAAAGGCAAAGGACAGAGCCACATGTTAGAGCAGCAGGCCTGGGGCAGGAGGTGTCTCTTTTTTTTTTTTGAAGCAATTCCTGAGAGACTGATTCAACTTCTGCCATCAGGGCTAAGAAAACATTAGAGGTCATGCTCTCTGGGTGGTCTTTCTGGCTAATGAAAAGCAGGGGTCTTGGGCAGCCCACTTTCCCCTGTAGGGGTATGTATTATGCATCTTTACTGTTTGCCAGTGCTGAGGGAAAGCAGCTGGAATAAAGCATGAAGTACTCAGGCCAAATGTGCCCACCTTCCAGGTGTTGGGGCCAGGCTATATGTGTTGAAGTGCAAAGGACATTAGATGGCACCTTGGGATCTCTCCATTGACCTGGGGTCCTTGGAGCAGGGCCTGCCTTGGTAAGCAAAATGTCATTATTCCTTTTTTTTGCATCCTATAAAGTATGAGATTAAGGGCTCCCTTTTAGGAAGTGAAGGTGAGATGAAACACTTCTGGAAGACAGGCCCTCTGGTTTCCCTCCTTGGCCCCAGCTGAATGGTTGCCATGGAAGTGAATAAATGGAGCACCCAAGCAAGTAGGTTTCCTGTCCAGCAGCATGGCTCATCCCCAGAGGAAACGAATAGCATCAAGGTAGGAGGCAGGAAGCTGCTGGTTCTCAGCATACACAAAGGCCAGGGCATACAAGGCTGCCAGTCCAGGGGTGGGTGTGCAAGGGATACACTGTGACTTGTCATTTGCATTGACAAGGGCTTGGGCCTGTGCCATATGTACTCCCACACAGTTCTCACTCACATAACCCGAAAATACTGGATGAACTTGGTGGGTTTCCTGGAAACACCTGTGAGAAGGCCAACTTCACCGGGCAGGAGAGGGGGCCTGTTCACCCTTCTGCCCCTAGTGCTGGTGGTATGCAGTGCTGTTATGTGAATAGCGTAGTGAAGGAGCCTGTGACTAGCATCAGCACCCTTCCACTGAGCTTACTGCTTTTGCCACCTGATCTTTCCCAAGGCTGATGCCAGGTACTCCAGTGAGTGCCACTCAGGGAGAAATTGCCTAGAGCCTTGTACTCAGTGATGGAGGCTCTCTGGGGCACAGAAAACCCTTATGTTGGGCAGGCTTAGACCAAGCAGGAGATCCCTTTGTGCTTTGTCCAGAAGACAGGGAGGGTGGCACTTTGGTCCTCGAGTCATAAGGAGCAAAGGCCACAGGGGTACAGTTGGTATGACAAGGCAGATGTACCCAAGGGAAGCAAGGGCCTGAGTAGACCTTGACTTCCCTCCCAGGCCCTTGGAAAAGAGAAAGTTGTGCTGCTCTTTCCTGTATCTCTTAGGGACAGGACTGGGGAGGCGGGAGCTAATGGAGGCAGCTGCAGGGACTAGGAGTGGCGGTGTGGTGCTACACACAGCCAAGGCTTTGTGCAGGACTGGACAGAGGGATGCTGACATGACACCCTTGGTAGCCCAGGTCTTCCAAGGGCAGGAACATAGCAGGCCACAGGAGGAAAAGTCAAAGCAATGATGAGAAGCCAGGACACCTGGGGCTGCTGGGAGCACTGCTGAGGCCAGGCATCGGGGTACAGTTCTAGAGAACTTTTACAAGGTGACCCAGCGCTGGGCTAGATGTTCAAGCCAAGTGGCAGCAGAATTGGGTCCCTGGAAAAGCCTGGGAAATGAGAATCCCAGATCCAGTCAGGACCAACAGCCTAATGGCAAGGCTGGGAACTGATCTTATACAGGAGTGAAGAAAACCCTAAGATGGATTTAGGTCATGTTGGGAAGAACTGTCCAAATAGGTTGGCAGGACCCCCCAGCCTTTGCATCACTGTGGTAAATCTGAGGGGATAAACTGGGGTGACCTTGGTGCCAGAACCTGATCCTCTGGGGATTGTGCAAGGGCCAGTGAAAACCCCCAGTGGCATTCTGTGGCTTCTAAGCCCTGAGGCAGAAGACCCCAGCTGCAGCCTTAGCCTGTGGCTGGTGGAGACTGAGGAAGGGGCAAGTCTGTTAGGATGCTCTACCTCTTCCTTGGCCCTAGGTCTGTCCTTGCCAAAGCCACATCCTCAAGCAAGCTAATTAGACAGGAAGCAAAGTCAACCACCCTCCTCTAGGACCCAGCACAGTGGGCAGCCCAGTGCCCCACTCCCAGATAGCCGGGACCCAAAGGCCATCAGATTCCTGCCCAAGCACCTGGATTAAAAGGAAATTCCTTCTCACTACAGGCAGGCCTCCCAGGGCTGGCACCTTCACCCTCCCTTCGATTTCTTGAGAGTGATTGGTAGGTATAGAAACATGCACCTTTTAGCTCTGAGTTTCACTCTGGAGTGTGTGTGTCTGGGTAGGGGAGCCTTTCTTACAGGAAAAAGTAAGTTTTCTCCACCTAGCAGCAGCCACCCCCATCCCCTTTTGTGCCCACCTTGGGAGGAGTGGTCTCATTCTGGGGAAAAGTTCTAGGTAACTTTTTTCCTTCCAATCCTGCCACCAGCTTTTTAATGACTGTACCTAGGTCCCTAGACCTGCCTGGGTTATCCCTGGAGAGTGTAGACCCAGGGCCCAGGCAAGTTGTGAGAATGGGTGAAACAGGTAGGAGAGAAGAGCCCTCCCTGCCAAGTCTGAGCTGCCTTGTGGGGTCCCCGGGGGCTGGAGCCTCAGGAAAGACAGGCCTGCCTGAGCAGCTGAGGAGCCACTGGTAGTTATTGCAGATCCTCCGAGTGAAGACACCAGTGCTGGTGGTGACAGCTCCTCGCTGGCTGTGCCAGAAGTCTGCTCCAGCGGGGATAGGGTGGGGGTCAGAGGGCAGCTTCTGTCCAAGCCCCTGCCTTGGGTCAGACCTGTTGCTCTGCTGTTCCAGTAGGACAGGATACTCAACCCCTCCCTGGAAGCTGGGATAACACTAGGCCTCCAAAGGTCTAGTCCAAACCAGGATCCCTCTGGAGGTACAAATAATGCCTTGGTGTGGGGCTGGCAGGTGCCCTGCCACCCCCTGCCCCCCGGGTTAGCAGCCGCCTTCCACCTTGATGTGCAGGATCTTAGAGAAGCCAGGCCTTCGTCGCAGGGCCTGTGAACCAAGCCCTGAGTTAGTTCTCTTGCAAAGCTGGTGGGGTCCTCCCTCCACACTCATCCAGGCCACCAGCCCCAGCCTAGGAATGTCACTTGGGGATCTTGGTTGGCCTCAGAGCCAACCTCTCACCTGGAGTTTTGTCACCATATCCTCAAATAGCTTCTGAGCCTCAGGGCTGCTGGGCTCCTTGAAATAATCAGCAATTCCAATTTGGACCACAATGGACTTGAGGTTCCGACAAATGCCTGGGGAAAGGTGGATAAGGAGGCCCCATGTTTGGCCTGCACAGTGGGGCTACCACCTCTCATTTCACTGATTAATGACATCAGATACCCCCTGAGGAACCATCATGTGGCAGCCACAGAAAACAAAAGTACAGCAGGCCTACGATGGCCTGGGGTGCACAACTGGACCAGGGAGAAGGTGGATGAAGGCACTCTGGGAAGACAAGTGGACAACAGCCAACTGCTCAGCAGTTCTAGCAAATTCCCTGGCAGAGGGGACAGTTTTACCCTGGTCTGGACACTTGGAAGTGATTATAAGGAACAGAGTGGCTGAGAGGAAGCTTGAGCATGAGGGTGGAGGAGATGGGGACAAACCAGGCAGGCTGCACAGGGTTTACAGGATGGGATGTGGCTGCTGACTAAGGTCAAGGGCTGAGGAGCCTGGAGAGTATGAATTTGAGGCTGAGCAGTTTGTCCTGATGGTGTATCCAGGGTGTGGACATGAGGCTGAAGGGGAGGGGAGAGGAGGGTCCTGGAGGTGATAAGGTAAAGGAACCTTCAATCTGGGAACAGGGTCTTCCCAAGGGCCACAAAGTCCTGGATGATGGTCTCATTTCGGGGAAGCAGCCCAAGCTGGGTACCTTTGTCCTCAGTGAAGGCAGAGAAGTGACAGAGTGGAGAGTGGTAGTATTAGGTGAAGGGCCAGAGGAGGCCTAAGAACTGTCCTAGGGAGCTTACACACATTACTGCCCACCTATTCTAAGAAAGTCAATGAATGAGAATGTAAAACTCAGAGAGGTAGAGTAATTTGCATGAATTCACAGCTAAACGAGCGGTAGACCCAGAGATGAAACCCAGATCAGTCTAGCTCCAGAAACTGCACTTTTAATCTGTCTGCTCTCCTGCCTCAGCCCTGGTGAAGACTTACACAGGGACAATTTCTGCATGGCTTCTGGCTCCAATGAGACTATGCCAAAGCACAACAGATATCTTTGGAACTGGACTATTAGGAGTGGATACTGGCAGGCTTGGAATGCCCACTGGCCTAAAAAGACACTGCTGGCAAAGCCAAGACCAGATATTGCTGTCTGCCCCCCCAACCCCATGCTGGTGTTTGCTGATTAGAGCATCAGGGAATTGTTTATGCTACCTGCTGACAGATCATGGTGACAGGTGAAAGCCATATCCTGCCCTGCATTCCCCCATTACTCACTGTTGAAATGCAGTAGGGCCTTAGGAGTGACAGGGGTGGCCGTGAGTACCAGCATCTCTAGTCCCTTCAGGCCTTCCCGGCAGACCTCAGCTGCCACCTCCTGGGTGATCTCTGACACATGGTCCAGCTCCAGGACCTGCAGCCGCATGCAGTTTCTTGCTAGGAAGAGGAAGAAGGCAGGCCCTGCTGACAAACTCCCTAGGTCACTTCCTGCCTACCAGGGTGGTCCCCTGCCACCACCCAAGATGCAGCCCCAATCCCCTGTAGAATTTTGCAGGATATTATTGCACCCTTACCAGCTTCTCACCTCTCCCCACCCCAGTCCCAAGGGACTCACCAAGTGATGCCAGGCCCTGCACCCCACAGCCGGCGCCCCCAACCCCCAGAGCCCGGAGGTGGGGCCAACAGCGACCGATCATCTGCAGGCAGCGGTTACTGAAGCGCGTGGGCTGCTGGCTGGAGAATGGGGAGGGGGCAGTCAGGGAAGCCTTTGGATGCCTGATGCCCCAAGCAAGTATATTCCTCTTGGGGGATCCCTCCCTGCCTCAGGCAAGTACCCCGACAACAACCCAGCTGGCCAAGTCAGAACACTGGCATCATCCCTGACTCGCCCCTCTCACCTCTTGCCATGTTCTGCAGTTTCAGATTCCTGAGTAACTCCTGTACCACAGTTTAGACCACCTTTGGATTCAGCTAGATTACTACCAGTCTCCCTGCCAATCCATGCTCCACAATGCTGTGCACCATTCATTCCTACAGCCACTCACTGTGTCATTCAGCAGATGGTTATCAAGTGTCTGCTACAGCCGAGAACAACTGAGCAAGGCCCTGGAGGTGTAGTGGTGACAATGCAGACATGGTCCCTGCCCTCAAAGCATGGGCAGTCTATTTTACAGAACTTTGGCAGTCTAATCTCAGTACTTTACTTAAAACCTAAAATTCTCCAATAGTCTCCCAGTACTTTCTAGATAAAATGCAAAAACCTAAACCCCTTAACATGGCCCTGCCTGCCCTCTCCCAACCTGCTTGTCCACATCAGATTTGCCATTTCCCTGAAAATCAGACTTGCCATCTCTCAACATTCACCTAAGCTATGCACTTGGTACCAGGGATACAGAAATGGACATTCACAGACTCTGCCCTGAGAACTACAAGTCTAATGTAGGAGACTGAAACAGAAATAATTGCAAAACCAGTAACAGCAGGTGTCAGGACAAGATGCAATGGGAATCAAAGCAGGAGCACAATGACTGCTTCCACCAAGGTGTTAGGGAAGGTACACTGGATGAGCTGGGAGGGGCCAGCACATGGAGAAGGATTGGAGGGCAAATAACAGGGAGGGTGAAACCTGTTAGTTTGAGGAACTATAGGTAGAGTGAGGGATGATTTCACACCCTGAATTCTCCAACGATCAGCTCTTATATGTTACATACTGACCCAGAATTGCCTGTTGTGTGTCAAACAAAACCCAGCTACTTTTAGCTGTGTTTACTGAACACTTACTATGGGGCCCACAGGCTCTGTGGTATAATCTCACTGAAGCCAGTAACAGCTCTAATAAGGTCAGTAGATTCCTAATATCACCTTCACTTTGCAAGTTGAGAAATTAACATGTTGCTCACAATGGCACTGCCACTAAGCCAAGACATGACTTCTAGGTCTAATTTTAAAGCTCTGTTCTTAATGCCTCATTGTGCAGATTAATGTGTGTGAGCCTGTCTCTTCAACAGCTTTTGGAATGGGCTCAGATCTGTCCAGTCCTCAGCCCCAGACCAGGTCCAACCCTTTCCCTTCCCCACCCACCCAGCCTGAGCTCACCAGGGGTGAAGAGGTGCCACCTGGAGGGAGACAATCTCTCTGCAGCCTGCACCCAGAGCCCAAATAACTTCGTGGCCCACTGGGTCTGTGGCACTCCTGTTGAAAAGACAAGGCTGGAGTAGCTCATCCTGGTGGTTTCTGCCCCTGTCAATCCTTCCTTCCCTTAGGTCACAGAGCTCTTGGGTGCCTTTGTCTGAGGACCTGGGGAAAGGCCATGCAGTGTCTAGAGATCCTTGGGGTCCCAGGCCAATAGGGTATAGGCCTTGCTTCTGGTAAAAGGAACCCACCTGTAGGTGACAGCCTGCAGGGCACGACAGTAGCAGCTGGCCAGCCAGAGTGAACGGTCGGTGAGGATGTTGGGACAGTGGGAGATGCGCAGGATCAGCAGGTTCCCCCCAGCTGCCTTCAGCAGGGACTCCAGCCCTGCTTCAAGGCAGCCCCTGAGGATGACCAAGAGGTCACTTGCCTGTGGTCACCTCCTCCTCTGGGAAGCATCCCCACTTCATTCCAAGTCTGGGCCCAGGAGCACCCGCCCACCCACCGCAGCCTCACCGGGTGCTCCGGGCGTACTCCTCCTTGCTCTCCTTCTTCCCCCGCTGTCGGGGCTTCAGGTTCTGCAGGGTCAGTGAGTGGGCCTGCGTGCACCACTGAGCCAGCATCGCCAGAAACTGCGTAGAGAGGGAGGGTACATGGAGAACAGGGGGTCTGCACTTGGCTGGCTGGAGAAAAGCCAGCCCCAGAACAGGAGGCTCTGTGAGAGGATTTGGGGGAGCCAGGCTGGAGCCAGGGCTGCAAGGACCAGATTCTGCCAGGGGGAAAGGTGGGTTCCCAGCAGGGCAGAGGTAGGCACCTTGGAACACACTCTCGCATTCTCTAGCAGCACCCTTGTCCAGACAGCAGGGTGACGGGCCACGAAGCGCCAGTCCCGGCAGACCTCGGCAGCATGCAGCAGTGTGCGTGTGTCCAGGTAGGTGAAGATGCAGAACAAGGCAGCTCGCATCTTAAGGATCTCTGGGCTGATGACCTCGTTGGAGCGTGAGGGGCTACCCCGCTCCGCTCGACGGCCTCGTCCACTGCTTCCCTCGGGGCGGGCTGCAAACACAAGGGAGCAAAGGTGACAATAGAAGGTCAAAGGCCAGGGCAAGGATGTGGGTGAGGAGCTGGGGCAGAGTAGGAGCTGCAGGAGAAATGGGCATAAGACCCATGCTGGGGGAACCAGTGGCTTGGGAGGAAGGCCAATCTGGTTCCCCTCCGCTACGGTACAGCCACCCCTAATTTTACATATTAGCAAAGGTATTCCTTCCTCATATAAACTTTCTTTTTTAAGAGTCAACACTGGGTTGGGGTTGTGGCTCAGTGGCAGAGCACTTGCCTAGCACGTGGAAGGCCCTGGGTTCGATCCTCAGCACCACTTAAAAATAAATAAACAAAGGTATTGTGTCCAACTAAAAAATAAATATTAAAAAAAAAAGTCAACCCTGACCCTAACTCTCTACCCTCCTGATGCCTCTGCATATGTGTGTGGCCTGTGTGCAGATGGGGCTCCCCACTGCACCGGGAGCTCCAGAGTCTGGAGTCAACACTCTCCTCTACATGTCACTGAGCTCCTCATGTATACAGACCCTGTCCCCCAATGTACCATCCTTGCACTGGCTACCCTGTCATTCAAGTCTCTGCACCAGGCTGGAAGGGCACTTCATAGGAGGGGTGGGCAGGTCTGGAGAAGAGGAAGGGAAGTGCAGGAGGTCAGAAGATTTGCCCTCTTAGCCCTTCCCCCCCCCCCCCCCCCGGGAGGGCCCAGCACCCTGGGGAAGGCTGGCCTCTCTGCCATTCCTCTCAGGACTTACCTGAAAGCCGGCAGCTGCTCACTTGCCCAGCCATAGCAGGCCCAGGGCGGGGGACATCTGAGGGGCCCTCAGCCTCCGACTCCGTGGTTCGGGAGCCCACGTCTGAGACATCACCCTCCTCCCCCTCAGTGCTGTGTCTGCGAGGTCTGCGCTGCCAGTTCTGGATGGCCTGGCGCCGTAGGCCTGAGCTTCGAGGGGCCTGGGACCGCTCTGAGCCACCATTGGTAGCCTGGGCCCGTGTGCCCAAGCCCCCAGGGCCACTGTCTTCAGGTGCCCCCTCCTCTGGCCGGGGCAGCTCCAGGCTGTCACTATCATAGCAGCCTGAGCTCTGGGAGGCAGCTGGCACACGGCTGGAGGCCCTGGGGCAGGGTGGACCAGATGGTGAGGGGTGAGGGGCGAGGGGCATCAAGTTGCCAGAATTCTCCACCCTCCCCTTACCACAGATCAAGGGCAACCCATCCGCCCTGCTTCCCAAAAGTTCCCTCTGAGTATGGAAAGGCAGATAGGTGACCCAAGGAGAATGGGCACAGGAGGAGAGAAGCCCCAGATGGCCAGCAGATCTTTCCAGGGAGAGGGTGGGCTGTGTAGGGCAGGGCAGGCCCCAGGCTTACCCTGTGCTGGGAGAAGAGCCATGCCGTGATACCGCGTATGTGTTAGGCACGGCCGGGCCCGCGTGGTGCTCTCGCTGTGGGCCCCCAGAGCAGGAGGGAAAGGAAGGGAGGCAGAGGAGGCAAGAGGATGAGGAGGCAATAACAGGAGAAAGAGGGTACAAGATGGAGAGAAGAGACGAAGGAGAGGAGAGAAAAGAAGAAAAAAAGTTGGGAAGGATGGACGAATGGACAGACAGATAGCCCCAACAGGGAGGCTCACCAGCCCCCTGGCCACACCCAACCCACACCCCAATTCAGGCTATGGCTCCTGGGTTCTCATTTTCAGGGATAGGCAGAGATGGGCCCCTGAGGGCTGGGGCTGCTGGATCACACCTTGAGACAGCCTCAGGGGATGGCACTCCTGCCCAGAGGGGCCCCCTTGTTCCAGACCCACACTTTAGGCCTAGGCCTGTTCTTGGGGGAAGAATCAAAGAAGAGAAGCACAGCATTCTGGGGGATGTGAGGCTGTGTGTGAGGGGAGGTTGTGGGGACCAGGTAAGCAGGTAAAAGAGGGGACAAAGGGGCACTCACCATTCTGCCTGGGCCCCGGGCCCCTGGCCCTGCACCACTGCCCCCACCTCCACGCCCCAGGCTGGCACTGGGTGTGCTGCCACAGCTGCTGCTGATGACCTGCAGCTGACGCTCAGCACGGTCGGCCCGCTCCAGGAGTTCCTCGATGAACTGCTGCAGGCGCAGCTTGGCACTAGCCTCCCGCGCTGCTGTCTCCTTCAGGAACTGGTCAATCTGTACCACCTCCCTGGGCCCAGAGCAGGCTTTTACCCTAGAGCCTCTGCTGGTTGACCTGCCACCCTCCCTTGTGGAGAGACACAGGGCACAGCTGCCCATGATGTCACAGCCCCCCACATCTAACCCATAACCAGACACATCATCCTCACACAAAAACACAGACACCCAGTTACCTATGGCCTCAATATACAGCCTCCCCACAAAGGAACAGCGCTAGGCACACACTTAGAGCCACACAGCCATGTGCACATACCCGCTCAGTACACATTCATGAATGTGCCCTCATCGGGTATCCATTCCAGGCACATACTCACAGTCTGAGACATGCAAAGCATCATGGAGGCACAGTCTCACTGACACACTCAAACACACACACACACACTTTCTGAAAGATTGAAAAATGTATTCAGTCACTTCAATACATAGGGAAATACACTAAGATGCAGAACCTCTAGGAGTTGCACAAACACATGGCACACCTTACAGATTACCTGAGTCTATATTCCCCAAAGCATCCATGGTTGTTCATGCATCTGTTCAACATTTATTGAACAGTGCTAGGCACTGTTCTAGGTGTTGGGGAAGCATCCATGAACAAAAGTAGAAACTCCCTGCCTTCATGGAGCTTATATTGCAATGGGGACAGATAAATAACCAGTAGCCAAGCACTGTGGCACATGCTTATAATCCTGTGGCTTGGAAAATGGGAGGAATATCAGGCTATGCATTTTAAAATAAAAAATAAATTTAAAAGGCTGGCTCTCATAGTTTTGTTGGTAAAGATGGAATCCTGGGTTCCATCACCAGTACCAGAAAAAAAAAAAAAAAACTAAACCTAACATTTGAATAGTTCATAATCCTTCATTTAAAGACCAGAGAAGTGAGGCAAAGTCAGCAAAGAAGAATAAGAAGGAACAGACCAAAAAAAAAAAAAAAAAAAAAAAGGAGGGGGGATCCTAGGAGAGCCAAGTGAAGAAAGTGTTTCAAAGATCTGCTGTGGATAGGCCAAGAAAGAGGGTAACTTGGCCTTAGCAACATGGTCAAAGACAGTGGTGGAACTGGAAACCTGATCAGAGTGGGTTCAAGAAAAAATGTGAGAAAATAAATTGGAGACCAGGAATACTTTCATGAATTTTTTTCTGTATGAGGCAGCAGCTTAAGGGAAAGTAAAGTTAAATGGGAGACATGACATCATGTTTGCATCCTTTTAGGAATGATAGACAGATAGATAGATTGACTGATTTTGATGATAGGAAAGGGAGAGGGGAGAATCGGGCCACACCTTTGAGTAGGACAAAGGGAAGAGGATCCAGTGCCAAAATGCCGAGGCTGGTCTTGGCTGAGTCAGAGCAGGGTCAGAAACAGACACTGTCTTCATAGATAGGCACATGCATGATCATGCTGCCATGTACTTGTGGTCCTGCACACACACGATCATGACACTCTGGGACCCACACACACCAATATTACAAGTTCATGACCATAGACCCCCTATTACCTAGCCATGACTACACACAGACATGCATGTTCAGGGTGGTTGTGATGGCACACGGGCACACCCACCAGCAGGGCCCTGAGGGCCTACTCACTGCTGCTTGCGGCTCAGCTCCTGCTCCTTGTGCACCAGGTCCTGCTTGAGAGAGGCCAGCAGCTCCACGCTCACATCCACCTGCCGCGAGAGCTCAGACGCTCGCTCCTCCAGCTCCTCCTTCTCGCGCCCCAGTCGAGCGCTCTCCTGCCTAGCAGTCTCCAGCTCTGCGGCTTTGCGCTCCAGCTCTGCCTGCAGCCGGCCCACTTGGCCCGCAATCTTCTGCTCCACCTCCTCGCTCAGCCTCTCCAGCCGCCGGTCCACCTCCAACTTCTCCAGCGCGCGTATCTTGAGGCGCGCCAGGCCCTCCTCGTAAGCCACATCAGCTGGCGAGGGGGAGGCGGGCGAGGCCGAAGCCGGGCCTGGGCCGGGCCCTGGCGGCGGCGTCGAGCACGCAGAGGATGCCACGGACTTGCGGGCGAACAGCTCTCCCAGCGGGATCTCTATCTCACGCAGCGCATAGCGTGCGGCAGCGGTGGGCACGAGACCCGGCTCACCCAGCTCCTCGCAGGGCAGGCTGGCGGGCACCAAGTCGCCGGGGAAATGGGCGAGGGGTGCGTGGTGGTGGTGGTGGTGCAGCAGGTGCGGCGTTGCAGGCGACGGCCCAGCGGCCTGCTCCTTGCCCTGAAAGGACGTGCTCTCAAAGACCTCGCGCCGGGCTCCGGGCACAGCCAGGAGGGCGGCGGGCTCGGGCGCCAGCTGGAAGCCCGAGGCTGCGGCTGCAGCAGCTGCTGCAGCTGCGGCGCCGTCGCAAATGCTGTTGGTCTTGGAGAGGATGTAGAGAGTCTCATAGGTGTGGCTGTACTCTAGGTGGGCGCGCAGGGACGACAGGCTCCGGAAGCGCTTGTGCTCCCCGCAGCGGGGGCAGCGGTATGGCAGGTCCAGCGAGGCCATGGCCCCGCCGCCCCCGCGGCGTGTTGGCTCCACCGCGGCCGCCCAGCGGGTCAGCCGGGCGCGCTCATGGGGGGCCGCGGGCGAGCCCCCCTGCAGAATCAGTAAGGCTCAGGGTGCCCGCGACCAGGGTCGAGGAGGCTACAAGAGAGGGAATAAGTCTTAAGAGGATGATTCTCCTCTCCCAGCGACACCTCCCAGGCCCTGGGCCGGAATCCCCAATCAAGTGTAAATTGACTTTCCCAGGAAACACGTGCCCGGAATGGAGGGGCCTTGGGAGACCTATGGCAGAACTCTCAGAGGGGAGTGTACTGCTGTGGCACCTGTGCAGGGCCTGCACATAGGTGGATGAGAGAGAAGCGAGGGTGGGGGAGGGGAGGGGGAGAGGGCGCAGGGAGGGGGAGAGGGAGAAATAATTCTTTTTAAAAATACAGTCATTTTTTCAAAAAAAAAAGAATCAGTTTTATGTTTAATGGCTCTGTTCTGGAAACAACCCAAGTGCTCATAAACAACAGAATGGATAAACTGTGGTATATTCATAATGGAATGCTACCCAGTAATAAAAGGAACTACAGATACGCACAGCAATATGGATGAATCCACTTAGTATTATTTTGCAGGAAAGAAGCCAGACCAGAGTGCATACGACAAATTCCACAGAGATGGGAGTTCAAGAATAGACAAAATTGATGATGACAGAAATCAGAACAGAGGTTATCCCTGGGGCTCTGCGGTTTTGCGTTCCAGCTCTGTAAGGACTGGGAAGGGGTTAGGAGAGAATCTTAGGTGATACTGAAAATGTTCTATATCTTGAGCTGAGCAGTGTATACAGGTGTAGATAATCATCAAGCTGTACACAAAATATCACTGCCTTATATGTACTTTAGTGTATGTCAAATCTAAAAATATCCTTAAAAGAAGATGCTTAACCAATTGCGGTGGCACATGCCTGTAATCCCAGAGATTTGAGAGGCTGAGTGGGAGGACCAAAAGTTTGAGGCCAGCCTCTGCAAGTTAGCCTTACCCTGTCTCCCAAAAGAGTGGGGCTGGGCTGGGCTGGGGAAGTGGCTCAGTGGTAGAACATCCTTGGGTTCAGTCCCCAGCACAGGGAAAAAAAAAAAAAAAGCTTATTTCTATCTCATGCAAACCGCATCCATTACACAAGCTGTATTATTAGTACTATGTTGCAGTGACAAAGATGTCTCTCCACTTGGGTATCATTAATGATACCTGTATGTGTCACATCCCTGCTACTCCAGGCACATAGGTCCTTTTGTCAAACCTAGAAAAAGCTAAATAGGCCTCCAATAAGTGTACCTACCTTGCCCTTCACTCTAAGGGTCCTATTTATCTGTTCTCCTCACACCCTTTCTGGCACAATCCCCTCCTCACCCTCAGCCCCTCCTGCCCCACCCCACCCCCACACACTTCTGGCTCCCCTGGCCTGTGGAGTTTCCGCTCCCTCATTTCTGGTTTTTCCTAAGTGCTTGCATTTGGGCTCGAACACCTTCTGCTGTCCCCATGTTCCTCAGAGTCACAGATTACCCACTAATGGAATAATCTAGCTGTCCTCAAGGGTCTTCACCCACTTGGTCTTTTGGTGGATACTTTTGGTCCCTGCATCTTCACAGGTTGCCAGGATGATGCCCTGTTTGGAGTTTCCTCCTGGTTCTGTGACTTTCTGTTTTTGCTATCTCCCTACATTTCCTATCTCTTCCAGAGGTGCCCCATTCAGCCTCTATCCTTCTCCCAGGCAATCTGGTTCACTCACAGATTCATTCACACCTTGAAGCTGCGGACTCACAGATCTGCCTCTTCATCCTGACCAGTTCCTGAGTTCTGTTTGCCTTTTCCCATTTCCACATGGCTGTATGAGTAGATGTCTGTTCCCTTTGACACCCAGCACCCAGTCCTCCTGTAGGCATCAGCACTCTTCTTTAACCCTGGGGAGCCAGCCTTCCTTTGCCACATTCTCAGTCCATCCATATGGCCTGAGGGATGTGACATGAGCCCGGCCAATCACAGTCCTAGGATGAGCAGGCACCCAATTTGAGCCAGTGAACCTCAAAATGTTCTGGAACTACTGGGAAGAAGCAGTAATTCCAGTAAAAACCCAATCCTTTTTGGGTTTGGGTTTTTAAGTTGATGGAGAGGGCCAGAGCTACTAGGCCATCTTTGTTTCCTTTGGGAAGGAACCACCTAGGAATGAAGCCAATCCAGAAAAGCAAAACTAAGACGGGGAGAGAAATTCTTCAGAGACACTGCGAGATCCTGGCCTGCTCAATTACATGAACCAATCAACTCCTTTTTTTTTTTTTTTTTGCTTAAGTTAGTTACAGTTGGGTCTATGTTCTTGATCAGGGAAAAATCCTGATACAAGAAATTGGAAACAGGGTTTGGGGTAGAGCACTTGCATAGCACATTGAGGCACTGGGTTCAATCCCCAGCACCACATAAAACTAAATAAACAAAATAAAGGTATTTTTTATATTTAAAATATTTTGGAAAAAAAAAAGAAGAAATTGGGATCAGTCAGGTGTGATGGTACACACCTGTAATTCTGGTGACTCAGGATGCTGAGGCAGGAGGATCCCAAGTTCAAAGCCACCCTCAGCAACTTAGTGAAGCCCTAAGCAACTTAGCAAGACCCTGTCTCAAAATAAAAAAAAATTTTAAAAAAAGGGGGCTGGGAATGTGGCTTAGTGGTTAAGCACCCTGAGTTCAATGCTTGGTATCAAAAGAAAAAAAAGAAAAGAAATTAGAATCAGAGATAGAATTTTTTTTTTTCAAATAATAAACCCAAAAAAGAATTAGCTTAACTAAGGGGAGAAGCCTAAGTTAGGACTGCTTCCTGCACCCTACTTAGAAGTTGTTGAGCCTTGTCATGCAGTAGCAAAGCAGCTGATTAAATGATCTCCTACTGCCCCTGAAACTTTAAGGGACTTGCAGAAAAATGTCACAATATTGGCAGTGAGGCCTTTGTGGTGGCCTGAGTCAGGTCCAATAAGAAAGAGACACTCTGGCTGAAAGGAGCCCATCTAAAAGCAGAGGAAGAAAATGGCTTGCCCAAAGAGGCCCTTTCTACCTGGGGCCAGTAATCCAATGTGGCTGAGAGTAAGATAATTAAGAGCCAGTTCTCTGCTTCCAACTAAAGTCAGCTCAAGCAAGGAGAGAGAGGCTGGAAACTCAGAGGGAGATCAGCCTGGGGCCTGAAAAGCTCTAGACTCCTCAGGTCCTGCTGTGCCCTCCCAGCACCACAGAAACTTCCATTATGAGCAGGTTTTTGTTGGAAAGCAGCTTGAGTAGAAAGGGAAAAGATTTCTGCCTCCCACCAGGGGTTTATACTGCCCTGAGGGAGAGGCCCGGCTAGAGGCCCCCAAACCCTAGGCTATTGCGATGGCCAAGCGCCTAGGCCTGTTGCTAAGAGACAACCCTTCTCCTCCCTCATCACTAACACCAGGGACTCCATTCAAGAATTATAACTTTCAAAGGAAGGTCTCTAGCTTTGACTAATAGCTCTGGGGTTGATGGAAGGCAAACTGACTGAAAGGCCTTCTAATGATTAAGGGAATTACACTGCCAGAAAAATCTAGCAAACCTAGAAAACAAAGGCCAGGATTACTTAGTCCTAAGGTCTCCCCTGCTACCTTTCCCTCCCCCACCAACCCTGTACTCCTCAGTCCCCCTCTCCCATGTGACTACAGAGCACCAAGATTGAAGACAGCAGAATCAAAGCAACAGGCTGGTGGGACAGGGAACCTCTTCCTTACCATCTAAGTTAACCTGGTGGGCCACGAAGCAGGTGTTTTTCCTTCCCTTCAGGTTTGCCTCCATAGTAGTAGTGTGACCACAAACTGAAAGACCCTGAGAGCCTCGCTCAGTACCTCATCAGACCAGGCATCGCCAGATCTTGAACTGGGGCTGGACGTAGTAATGGAAAGAGAATATGAAACCACTCCTTCTAGAGATGGGAGACCAGGTTGAAAGTTTTGTGAGGAATAGGTGCATTATGATAAACAAGGAAATATTTTTAAAAATTATTTAGGAGAGAGATAAGGGTCTTAAATAGCCACGAAGTAGAATTTAATATTTTTTTAAACATTTATTGCTTTTGCTGCTTGGCTTTACCCTTCTTTGTGGACTGACACCCCATTTTCCTTTAGAGAATCATTTCCTCCACTTTGAATGAGTTTGGGTAGAGCTGACCCCAACCCCTGACCCCAAAGAGCACATATGACCTCAGTCTGCTTCATTAGAGCACCGGAGATCAGGTCAGTAATGCTCATGTTTCTCAATCTGGATCAATTCAGGCACCCTAGGACTGTGCTCAGCTGGCAGGACATGAACCTGGAACTGCTTGTGGGCATTTCTGTGATATCACTTGAACTTTTCACCTAGGACTTGTTAATTACATGGGGCAGCAAAAGCTTTTGTAATTTGCATCATTTAAGTCAATTGAGTAATGAGGTTCCAGAGGCAAACAATGATCCATAGTGTCAAAAACACAACCCAGGCTTTCCCTCACTCCTCCCTCCCCTGCATCAGTTTCCTTCAACAGTGCCTCTGTCCTTCCAGCCACACCACTGGCCATCCTGATTTCTCCCTCCCTGCTAACCATCAAGACCTGCTGGTTTTTCCTTCTGGTTGCATTTTAATCCAATTGTTCTTTTCTTGTCACGTGCTTTGTGCTCTGATGGGTCACATCTCCTCGCACCTGGACTGCTGGCCCAGCCTGCCTCACAGTTCTTTTCTATCCTATATAAGGCACCATACCCACTTTCTGCAGATGGCTCCTGCTTAGACACCTTCAATGGATCCCCATGGTCTACCAAATGGAGCCACACTCCTTAGCTCCATGGTTTGGCCTCATTGTACTCTTGCCAATTTCAAAGTGAAAAAAATGGTCTGTTTCACTTGCATTTCTTTCAAAGAAATGGTTGGACATTTTCCCACACATTTGTCAATCATTGTAGCTACAAATGACTTTTTGCCTTTACACTACTTTGCTCATTTTTATACTGTACATTCATATTATCGATTTGCAAAGGCTTTTGTAATATTGATCCTTATATACTGCAGATATTTTTCTCAAGTATGTTGATTGGATTTTACTTTTGTTTATGGTTTTTATTGATAGACTT